AAGATTACATGTATAACTTATACACTTTTTAGGTAAAAATCGGTAACCTCTTCACCGATCCTCGCTAAATTCAATAACAACCTACCTTTAATAATACTTTATCCATAAAAAAATTTAACTCGATATCTCAAAATTTGCGGAAGAGCAATCACGTAGATTTTTTTAGACAGAAATCGGTAACTTCTTTATTATTAGCAATTTTACTAATTCTATTATATTCTTTTCTACCCATATTTCATATATAATTCTTTAAGATTTGGTTGATTAGTTCTTGAGTTATAGATAAATCCGTATTTCATATATAAATCTGTATTTCATATCCTATTTCATATATAATTGTTAAGATTTGGTTGATTAGACCTATAGTTTTATACGCAATTAAAGGTCCATATACGAGGTTTACGAACGAGGTTACGAGAGAAAGCAAAAATGCATGCAATATAGAGAAAAAAAGTCGAGAAAATAACAAGTAAGGATATTATAGTTAAATAATACCTATATGTATATTAACAAATAGAAGAAGTAAATTTAAATGTTTCGACTACACGAAGCACGAAGTCTTCATCAGCCAAATAAATTAAGAAGTAAATAAATAATAAGTATAATAAATGTTTAATGATAAAAAAGTGGTCAGGAATTGTAAAACATAGATAATATAAAATGACAGAAAAGAGAAAATAAAAATAAAAAGTTACTTGTAAAATAAGTCGAGTAAAACTATAGAAGACTACTACACCCTTTGAGTTTGATGAAATTTTACTGATACTTATTGTTAGTATACCCACTAAATGTAGTCGAAACCCACAGTGTTGAGTTGCGAAAATGCTTAGTTTCCGAGAAAAAAATTCAATTATTTGACAAAATTAACATATTTTTCATAATCTTGTGATAAAAAAATTGGGATTTAAAAATATTTTGTTAAAATATATCATTTTATTAGTGTATTCCATGCTTCACGTAGAAAGTTGAAAACCCGAACCGTACATCAATGATAGACCTCGCTTCAGGTCAAGATCGTTAAAAGGGTGAGTCCCCTAAACATGCAGCAGTTTATTTAACCTTATTTTTTCATGTCAAAATCTTGGCAAACCTAGATTAGGCCAAATAATTATAAATTTTTTTCTCGGAAACTAAGCATTTCCGCAACTCAACACTGTGGGTTTCGACTACATTTAGTGCAGGGTACTTATACATACCTATAAAATTTCATCAAAATCGAAGGGGGCGGGTAGTCTATTAAAGCCATAAATCAAATATCGAAACGTGATGTCAACCAAGAGGGACACGATTACGATAGGCTACCGCCCTTCCCCCGCAGGCAAAGTTGGGTGGGGGTGGATCTCGGTTTGCGTAGAAAGTTGAAAACCCGAACCATACAATGACAGACCTCGGTTCGGGTGGGGTAAACCTCGGAAAACTTTTTTTATCGGAACATTTTTTAATATTTTTCTCGTGTTTCTCGCCAAAAATACCCCCGAAAACCACTGACATTTCGAGGGGCCAAAGTTATTGTAATCGTCCCACAAGAGACTATCAATCGTCTATCATATAAAAAAAATGCATGCGTTTACATTCACTTGATGAATCTCCGATTTCGGCGGTGGCACAAAAAATTATAGTCACTTCCTTGCAACCGTTTGATATGGAAGATGGCGTCCAACCCTGAAATCGACGCGGTGCAGCCGGTGCAGGTGTCACTCGGGAACGATAAAAATGCCGCGAGTGACGGTGCATATACGTATATGTATACATATGTTACATACATACATGCAGATATTACATATTACAGACACGTAATGTATGTACATTCATACGTATGTATGTACATACATACACTATATCCGCGCGTGCGCGCGTGTATGCGCAACAGGTTGTTGGGCAGTGTTTAAATATTCTTTTTTTTCCACGACATGTTTGCGTGTTTGGAAATACGCAGCGGTTGGCGCCGTGCGAATGTACATATGTATATAGCGGGGAGCACACACTTCTGCACAACGCATAATGCGTAAGCATAAAAAAATTGATTGGTCCATACACATGTGCATAAAGACATAGACCAATCAATTTTCTTATGCTTACGCATTACGCGTTGTGCAGAAGTGTGTGCTCCCCGCTTATATATACATATGCATATGTACACATGCCTGAACTTCGTTCCCGCCCATGCCTCCGATCAATTCGATCTCCGACACGATGCGTAAACGCGCGTGGAATATATTAGGAATTCTCGGAAGCGGCTAGCCCCTCGAAAGATCACTACCTAGCTCGGTATTAGTCTCTGCAAGTGATTCCCAGTGATTCCCTCGCTGGATCGAAAGTGCATTGAGCGAAAAAACGCTTATTATTTCCATCTCTTTCCCCCCCCCCCCCCCCCCCCCCCCCCCCCTCTCTCTCTCTCTCTCTCTCTCTCTCTCTCTCTCTCTCTCTCTCTCTATTTAAATCCTCCAGAATCTTGAAACTTGCTTCGAAGCATGATGAGCCTGCATACGTCATTAAGTTCCCCCGCAAAGGAATCTCGCTCGCGACGTCCGTACTCCATTCATGAAAGAGTCGTCGCAAGGTCAACTGTGTCGATGGAAGTCGCAGGTGATGAATTAGGTTATGTATTACGACATACGTGCGAGGTATGCACTTGTAAACATTATATTTGACGTATGTTTTGCGTCGCGTAAGGTGTTATCTCGATACACGTACATGTGTGCGTGCGTGCGTCTGTGCGTACGTGCGACTCGCGGAGGCTGCGTGTTTACACAAGCGCGTGCATGCTGCCTATTATCCGAGGCCCGAGGAAGGGACGGTGCGTATGCGAATAAATCACACTCGACTTCTCGTATCCTTACGTCCCTTACATCCGTCCGTCACTCGAGGAGACGTCTGCCGTTCACGAGCGCGTTAGTTAGAAGTTGCACCCGAGTATACGCGTGATACCAAATGAACGATCTGCGACTGTGCGTGATCGAAGTGTTTGCTAGTGGAATGTGATAGAATACATCGCTTGACATATCACTCGGGAAGGATATTCTGTCGCAAATTATGGTTTGCACTCTTTAATTGCCGATTGTGCGCCCTGATAAAATTCCTCCAGCGTAACTCGTACTCGCAGAGTCGCGTATTTCCTCCCCCAATTTTGATGGCAAGTGATTAGCGATGGAATTAAGTATCTTACAAGTATGGTTCGAATCTGTGGCGTAGTTTCGAACTCTCTATGCCCAGACAATGCATGTCCAAAATCGGGACATAAGACGTCTTAAAGATATCTTTAAGACATCTTTAAGACTTTGTTTGAGTGATTACTTCAAAAAAGTAAAATACTTTTGTTACAAGTAAACTCAACCTGGACGAAATGCGTTTGAACCCTCTATGAGTATCCCGAAAAACAAGAGTGTTACTACTCAGATCTGGATCAAATATGTTCGAATCTCTTAAGAGTATTTTACTAGAAATTTTATTTCTTCGAATCAAAACGTTTGTATAAAGCGTCAATTATTTTAATATATTATTATTTGTATTTATTATTTTTATATATAATATATTATTTTTATATGTATTATTTTTGTTTTATTTATATCAATTATTTTTTATAATTAAAAATATTAGATTATTAATCGTTGAAATTAAATATAACAAAAATATGACTAAAAGTATATAATAAAAATTACTTAAAATTTTTACATACTTATACATTGTGTAAACAACTTTATTCTTAGAGTTTGAGTACCACTTGTAAAAGATTTAATTCTTTGCGATAGAAACTACTTATAAGTACATTTTGAATCCTGCAAATATTTATTTTAAAATTCGAAACTGACTAGTCGGGATCATCTATTATTTCGCGAGTACAATGTATAAAATATTACTTCTTATGAATATTATTCGAATTTTAGAAGATGAAATACTTGATTATTGGATTTGACTCGGATTTCTAAATATATAGTGAATTTAATCCCAGTCCTACAAATGGCGTGAACGTATTGTCTGTTTATTGTACAGACTTAAAGTAAATATCCATTAAATGTATACGAATAGATGTCTTAAATATCTGTTTATATAAAATTGTTAAACATCTTTGAACAATAAGTGAAAATTGATTGATATAAGAATACCATAAGTAAAATAGAAATGTACCTTATTCGGTCAGGCTAGATCTTGAAACAGTCTTCAATTTGAGCCTGTGTTTCAAGACCGACAATTAATGCGTAGTTTACTGAACGGTGAAGATATGAATTTACCAAAAATATTATTAGGCACAAAAGTTCCAGTCGATGTGGTAACATGTTTGAGGTGTTCAGTAAATCAGAATTGAGCAAACGGTGGATGTAATAAATCGAAGGAATTTATCTCGAGTCCGGTTTTAATCTGCAAAATATCACTAAAAACATAAAAATTGCAGTTGCATGCCGTTCATACCGTGTTTTGCAAAAAATTACTGTATAATTAATAACAATTGCATTTTTTATGCTACTTCTGGTATTACTCATAATAGAGATAATTTTTTACATTTACCTATGTTGATCAATGATACTGATGTTATCTCTCTGAATCACTCGAGATTAGGCTGAGAAAGACATCAATGAGATATAAGCGGAACAAAACTTGTGACATGATATTAATATCATTTTTTTAGATACCGGAGTAAGAACGCATTTTTGGGAATAAATATTTTTAAATGTCTCCAAAAATTCTTTAGTTGGTGAATATATGTACCCGAAGGATAAAAAAAAAAAACAGAAATATGGATAGAGGATATGGTGCCACCTACGCGGGAGGTGATAACCACCTACTCGAATACTGGGAGGAGTATCAGAAAATGATAGAGGAGACAAAAATGCTGGATGATTATTTAGACGAAGAGTGCAGCCCCCGAAGTTATGACGGTATGTGTTATGAGATAATTCAAATTACGTATTATATACATACAATATAAAAATTATAATTAAAGATTATATTTGAGAATTTAAAAGGATGTAAAAGAATTCTAAAAACCAAAAAATGTTATCATGCTACAATGCAACATTTTATAATATATTTGAAATATATAGAATGAATATTTTTGGATTTTTTTTCATACAGAAGGAGAAGAGGAAGCTGAATGGTTACGCGCAGCAGGTTTAGGGCAATTAACAGAAGCGTGGAAAGCAGGCAGAGAGGTACAACCTGACGAATTGGGAGCGGCTTTGCGTCCTTTGTCGCGGGTTCAAGCAGAAGCCGTGAAACGTCGCGTGAGATCGCTTAATCATACAGTTAAGCAACGTTTTAATCAGCGCCAACGCATTCGCAAACCGGACATTAGGGATGTCTTCAAAGATGTAGAGGTATATCGATAAATTAATTAAAATATTGAGCAATTAAAATATTTTTAATTAATTATATACTTATAAAATGAGTTAGATGGGAAATGTATGTGTATGGAGGGAGAAGGGTTACACAAAAGAGAGAGAGAGAGAGAGAGAGAGAGAGAGAGAGAGAGAGAGAGAGAGAGAGAGTGTGTGTGTGTGTGTGTGTGTGTGTGTGTGTGTGTGTGTGTGTGTGTGTGTGTTTTATTTCATTTTCTATTTTAAATGTCTTATTTATTAAAACGTCTTATTTTTTTTAAACGTCTTTTAATAATACAAAAAAAAAGTCAGAGAAAAACATTATTTGTCTCGAAAGAACAAGTATTATGGTATATAACAAACAAATCTTTTTCTTAAGGTCGTATGTTTCCAGATTTTATACTCATTGATTCTTTTAAAAATGGAACTACAAAAAACTCCGCACACATTTTATGGAAAAATGGCCACTCGTCGAATTTGCTGAAACTGTAGTATGATGTAGTTCACGACGTCCTGATCAAAAGTCTTAATGGGCCCGAGATAAAAAAATGGCCAGTTTTTTAGATACAGGGGGTCAAAGGTCAAAGGTCAATAATAGTGCCTCATTCGAAAATTCTACCCTTTATGTATATCCATATGTGAGCAGTGTTGTGTGCGTATGTGCGATTCTGCATATGTGTGTGTATTTGTGTTTGAGCATAGCCCTGGTGTGATAATATGACAATAGTAATATGGCCACCTACGAAACTAGTGCACTGATCGAGATAAAACTTGGCCAGCGTGTTCACCATCGAAAAAGAATTTCATTTTTATTTAAGCATTCGTACCATGAGTGCCATATTGCCGATTTGGCCATATTACCCTCACCGACGTTATATTGCCATCTGATCTCATACTCCGGTGCGACACAATGGCAGAATTTCAAGATCGGTTGATGATCCAGCCAATGAAGGCAAGATCAGTTGATCTAGCCAATAAAGGCAAGATTGGTTGATGATTGGATGATCCAACCAATGAAAATTAAACACTTTTTCAACTGTGAACACGCTGGCCAAGTTTTATCTCATTAGTTTCATAGGTGGCCATATTGCGAATTGGGGCTCGATTCTTAAATTCATTTGCAAGAGAAACGTATGCGCAAATTCCACACAGCACAAAAAGTTGAAACAACGTTGCTGAGACGTTGCAATGTTGAATGTTGAAGTATAGATATCTTTCCAGCATTAAACCTATCTCAACATCTTGAGTACTCGCAACCCGTCGCGTCGCGTAAAAGAGTCACGGTCGGTCTCGCTCCGCGTATACTTGGCACGAGACACTACCGTGTCTCTTGATTTGGATTCTTCTACATTGATTCTTTATGTTGATACAACATTGAAACAACATTGAACAAATTATTAATCTTTCCGCGCTAATTTGCAACGACACCACTAGACGGCGCAGTATTATAAGATCAACTCGTATGTAAATTTCAATACATATAAAGCGCTCCTAGCGAAGCAAAATTACGACATCCGTGTGTGGGTCTTCGGACCCGGCGCTCCTTTTAGATCTAAAGGAATAAATCTGAGCTCAGAAAACTTCCAACAGTTGTAAAAAAACACGTTCTGTTAAATATTAATCAATATATAACAATTTAATTGTTGCATTGTTTTTAATATTTGTCAGTTAATATATCATTACAAGATTTTTGGACACTAAAGATGTGTTATATACAAGTATAGGAAGCAAGAAGGAAGCGTTAGAAGATCACCACTAGCCCATTCGATCATCAAGCAATGTTTTCTGAATGTTGAAACAACGTCTACAACGCATGCAATTCAGCGGACATTAGACGTTTGTGCAATGCCTTTTCAACGTTGAATCTACATTTCGCAACGTTGATGCAATATTGCACATATTGAAATGCAAATGTTTTTGAGATTTTAATTCAACATTTGTGTGCTGTATATGGGAATGTTCTTACAGAAACGTTACAAGTTGATTGGTTAAAAATTATAGCCAATTGACTTGCAACTTTTCTGTAAGAACAACATTTGGGCATACGTTTCTCTTGCGATATACACAAAGGGTAGAATTTTCAAATAAGGCATTATTATTGATCTTTGACCCCCCCTTCGTATCTCAGAAACTGTTCATTTTTTTACAGTCGGGCCCATTGGGGGTTTTGATCAGGACGTCATGAACTACATCATACTACAGTTTCAGCAAATTCGACGGGTGGCCATTTTTCCATAAGATGTGTGTAGGATTCTTTTTAATACTGCATTAACTAAAATCAAGACCGATTCAGTGATCTGTGCTAATATGCCTAGGTAGCAGACAGGTGTCAAAATGACGTCAGAATTTGGTCACAATATGACCAAAAATGATGAATGTAATGACGTGAAAATGACGGACTAATGTCACGATGACGACATTTCAAGACGTTAAAAATCTATCAGATGACCCGACACTTACATTTCCAATAAATATTAATATAATAATACAATTTATATATACAGATATTTAGGAAAAATTAATTTGTAATACAAATTTGTTTGTAATGTTTTGTAACATTATTAAATTTCTGTTAGGGCCAAAGCACATAACATGGCGTAGCGATATACGACGGTCGTAGTCCTCGACCTGACAAATAAAGATACGCCAAAGCTTGTGCGTTACTTACGTCCACGACTACGACTGTCATATGTGCTTTGGCCCTTAGCATTCTTATATTTCAATTGTCTTACAAAAAATTAGTGACTGGCGAACTTCCTCGATGTCGATAATGTCAACCTTTCTAATTTTTGTTTTCCCTATATCTGTCTTTGTCTAACGAAATGACATCTGTCCTTTTTTCGATTGCTCGCCATCTTACGCAAGATCCGGCAACTACTGTTGCTGCTCTTCTTGTCATCCTGCATCCGTATTTGCATTACTAAAATAATTATTAGATGGATCTTTTTTTGTACGCATTGAATCTTACTTCTACTTACACGATATTATTCCTACATGTTTTCCCAAGGGTGGATGATAAACATTATGTACGTATAAACTGTAGAATTTTTGTTTTAAGCAAATATTGTCGTCAGGTGACAGCTGTGTATGTGCTCCAATAAGTAATATTTTTAATTTTTTGGTGCTTTTGATATAAAATCACGTTTTCCACCCTAGATTTTTGTGCGGACTTTAATTCTAGATCAAAAACTTGCAATTCTGTAAAGCCAATTAAAAGATCCATTGATTAACGATAATGTCGGTAAATCATACGGCTGCAGGATCCTCTTAAGACGTTTTTTGTACGACATCATTAAACCGTTACAAAAAAAATGTTTTAAATTCGGTATTATTTGATCATCTGACGTCATTGGATCAGTAATGACCAGTTTTTGACGTCACTTTGACATAGGTTACGTAGGCTGGATCTTTATGTGATCTTGAATACAAAAAATACAGATGTGTGGGATAGATATAAAAAAGATATAAATAGATATAAATAAAAAAATAATAGAAAGGTTAGCGAAAGAAAAACTTATTTTAATAAATTCGCAAAATAATGCCTAAACTTCGATATATTTTATTATTAAAAACAAAACAAGTAGCTTCCTTCGCCAGTATATAAATTCAAAACAGAAGTCGTTTTTGTTCGACTCAACTGGCCAAATAATTAATATATTTAAACTCACAACGTTTCGACCGTAATTTTGGTCCTTCTCAAGTGAGAAAATTAATCAAGTCATACATCCTCAAAAACCGCGTACAAAATATCCATTACATCGCTGACATCGTGCCCTAACTACATCATGCATACGTAAAGCTAAAAAGTGAAATAAACTCACGATAGTCAATAAGATAAAATAATTGGTCAGAAGTCATAAGATGAAAAGTTAGAATAAAAAATAGAATTAAATTAAAGTAAAAAATGTACAGAGTAAAATAAAAAGCTTACATATTCTGTGCGACAAGACAAAAAATAATAACAGTATATACAGCGTGGAACAAAGAACGTCGCAAGCCATATCTGTGAACACATCCGTACAGCGTGACAGTCGAAGTCATACTGAAATGACCGATACTATTGTTCTAGTTATTCGCTTATTAGCGAATAACTAGATGTGTTCACAGGTAGAAACGAGCAGAACAAAAGTGCAAACTAAGTGACGCCAATCACCCGGTTGTAATTCGCGGGCAGATTTTCCGTGTCTTTTTGAAGATTGATTGCACACAATCGCATTTTTTAATAAAAAACATTTCTGAGATTTCTCGTTTCTTAAATTGTCTCTCCTTATATAAAATTTTCGGTTGTTGCCAATTAAAATCGTGGTTGTGCGTGAGACGGTGCTTACTAACCACGGAATGATTGTCACTATTCTTCCTAATATCACAGAAATGTTCCTTAATGCGTGTCTCTAGGTCCCTTTTTGTTTGACCAATGTATGCAGCGTTGCAATTGGCACAATTAATCTTATATATCAACTCAGTCTGCTTAAGATTCGGTAGCCTGTCTTTCCCCCTTCTAATAATGCAATCCAACTTCTTCGGAATGGTGAGGAGAGGAGAACCTTAAATTTTGCATCACGCATTGTACGGCCAACACTGTCACGAGACCCTTAACATACGGTATGGTGATAAATTTCAGAAAATCCCGGGCTACATTGTCACCGCTAGAGCTATTACTGTTATTATGACGTGTCTGTAAATCGTTAAGCCGGATATTAATGTACTTGAATGTAAAAGAATTTACATATGAAATAGAAAAGAATGGTTCTTTAAGTTTTCTTGACAGTGGGACAGGGCTTATTGTATCGGTCATTTCAGTATGACTTCGACTGTCACGCTGTACGGATGTGTTCACAGATATGGCTTGCGACGTTCTTTGTTCCACGCTGTACTGTTATTATGTTTTGTCTTGTCGCACAGAATATGTAAGCTTTTTATTTTACTTTGTACATTTTTTACTTTAATTTAATTCTATTTTTTATTCGAACTTTTTATCTTATGACTTCTGAGCAATTATTTTATCTTATCGACTATCGTGAATTTATTTCACTTTTTAGCTTTACGTATGCATGATGTAGTTAGGGCACGATGTCAGCGACGTAATGGATATTTTGTACGCGGTTTTTGAGGATGTATGGCTTGATTAATTTTCTCACTTGAGAAGGACCGAAATTACGGTCGAAACGTTGTGAGTTTAAATATATTAATTATTTGGTCAGTTGAGACGAACAAAAACGACTTCTATTTTATTATTTATATTTACTTTTATACATTTCTGGATGTGTGTATGTATACATATATTAAATAAAATATATTTTTCATAAATTATAAATACAGGTCTCCAGCACAGGTACACGATCACGTAGCGCTACTCCTGATTCTTTAGATTCAATTCAAGGCGCTACGCCAGAAAATGCATCACCTCCTTCACCCCCGACAGTCACTGTGATCGAAGATGCACACCAAAAGTAAGTTCATTATAGGCGATTTTTGGCGTGACTCTGGTATAAGTAACCAAAGTGTACCAAACTGCACCAGCCCCAATAGCAACTTTGGTATATGTACCAAACCATACCAAACGATCGCCAAAAATTGCCTTATTGTGATTAATTTCTTATGTGATACCTCTTGTTTTTGTAATATAATTTGTTTCTAATTGTTTAAAGCGCTGGTGTTCCGAGTTTTGTTTCTATATTCCATCGAACGTCACATGAAGGAAAAGCGACGGTTCGTCGAACACCAAGTGTCCCCCCAACAGCTCTCAATTCTATGCCAGTGCCTGCCTCGACTTCTGTACCTGTACAAGAAATTTTCAGGAGGACCGGCAATTGGTCGAGAGGGGATGTCGCAAATGATTCTGGTATTATCGCCTTTGCATTTATATTTAATAATTTTAAGGCAATCGGTAGCTTTATTTTGAAACTTAAAATATTACATATTATTACAGAAGGAATTCAGTTGACTAGCTACCATAGATTGGGAACAATACACATTGCCAGACCAATTCAGAGGCATAATAATGGCGATCTTAACGATGTAACGAATTTAGATACCGAGTCAGTTAGAAAATTAGTCGTGCCAAAGGAATCGACTCTTCGGTATTTCTAGGATAATTGATTAATTATTTCAAATTATTCCCGAAATGTTTCTTCTAATCGTCATCTCACATTCCAGACGAAGCCCAGGAAATCACGCAGCAGTAACACGAAGTCACAGCAGTTTATATGGCTTGACCAGACCGGCGGATGGAAATTTAATAGCTCGTCCATTAAGTCGTACATCATCACACGGTCATCTTAGTTTCGAGGAGATGTGCAAAACCAACGAAGCCAAATCTCAAATGTGGTCTTCCGACAATCTTATGACCGATGACGATTATGCTCGGCAAGATGTAGAATTATTATCGCAACGAGATTTTACGAGATTGCAGCCCCTTTTATGGCTCGAGTTAACGGCGATTTTCGATAAATATAATATACCGCTTACGAGACGAAAACCCAATAAACGACGGAGGAAAAGTATATAATATAATTATACTTGCCTTTCTTGTGCCATGATTCTTTTATGATCGTCATACGTCTGCATATTTGCAGCTGGAAATTTGTTTGGCGTTTCTTTATCGACATTGCTGCTCAGGGACAGTCAATTAACAAGTGAAGAAAATAACATACCATTAGTATTTCAAAAGATCCTTAATGAACTGACAAAACGTGGAGTAAAAGAAGAAGGTATTCTTCGTGTTGGGGGCCATAAGCAAAAAGTAAGTAGATAGATCAATAAATAACTTTATTGATTCGGCTATTTGGCCTAAAGGACTTGGTTTACAAAGTTTCCTAACTTACACATTCTTTCATTCTTTTTTTTTCTCCTTACATTCTTTTCTTAATTTTTCTATCTCTGTCATCCATCCCACTATTTTTCTCTTTCCTTCTTCATTTAGCACATCTTTTACTCTTATCCTAGCCTCGCCCTTTACATGTGTCATTATATTAACCTTCTGCCTCATATTTTGCACTTCTTTCCTTTCTCCGTCAGTCAATACCTATTTCCCTCCTCATTTCTGCATCATCTCGCAATCAATCTTTGGCTACCTTTATATCTTTTTTCCCCTCAAATATTTCGGTCTCTCTATCTTTATTGTGCCCTTACACCCAATAGGCCAGTCAAATTAGACATTCTGGTTTGAAAGTGATGCGAACTTTTTTATTCCTTTTTAGGCGTGTTGGGGGTGTTTAGAAAAGCTTATTTTTGAGTTGTCGTATCATGAGACCCAGAGTTTTTTGAGGGGGGGGGAGGGGAACTAATTTTTGACGAATCGGAACGAGTCACCGCTCATTTTCTTCGTTTTTTCAAGCCCTACAACTTTCTCAGGAGCGAAAAAGTGCTATCTATTAATCGAAACGAGATAAATGCAAAAAACCGCGAAAATTTTATTTTTTGGGGGAACCAAAGTTTTCGTTTTTTTCGCAATAACTCGGCGAATGTTGATAAAAAATGAATGACTAACCCTTCAGCTACAAAATGAGGGGTTAGTCATTCATTCTTTATCGACATTCGCAGAGTTATTGCAAAAAAACAAAAATTTTGGTTCCCCCGAAAAATAAAATTTTTGCATTTATCTCGTTTTGATTAATAGATAGCACTTTTTCGCTCCTGAGAAAGTTGTAGGGCTTGAAAAAACGAAGAAAATGAGCGGTGACTCGTTCCGATTCGTCAAAAAATAGTTCCCCTCTCCGCCCTCAAAAAGCTCTGGGTCTCATGATACGACAACTCAAAAATAAGCTTTTCTAAACACCCCCAACACGTCTAAAAAGGAATAAAAAAGTTTGGATCACTTTCATACCAGAAGCCTTTTTTGATCTAATTTGACTGGCCTACAACAAGCAGAAAGTAAGTACATACAAGTAAAATTAAATAAAATATTTTGTTATTTATATATAATTATTTATTAAAATGATAATTATTTAGGTGGAAATAATTTGTACGGAACTAGAAACAGATTTTTATTGTAAACCAAAAGAGATGGATAAGCTGTTTGAACGTACTCCGTGTCACGATTTGTCGGCTGTTTTGAAAAAATTGTTACGAGATTTGCCACAACCTCTTCTTACTGTTGAGTTGATCGATGCTTTCTATCAAAGTCACGGTTAGTAGATTATACGTACTACACAATATCTCATGTATATAATATGAAGATAAAAAAAAAAACAATTTCGTACGTAGGTGTCAAGAATCCCAACGACTTGGTGTATTCTCTTAATCTGCTAGTGCTATTATTGCCTGTCGAACATCGGTGTACCTTAGAGGCATTACTGAATTTCCTGAAGCTGGTTATCGAAAATCAGGCGTCGAACAAAATGTCGATACACAATGTGGCAATGATAGTGGCACCGTCGCTCTTCCCACCCCGGTACGTTCATCCTCGAGACCATGCCGACCTGACCGCCCAGGTCAACATGGCCGCCATATGTTGTCAAATAACGGAGGCCCTGCTTAATAACGTTGACAAGTTATGGTACGTCTCGACGGAGCTTGTAAATCAATTACGAAGACAATCCGAGGTGGAAAGATATCGCAAATACAAGAAAAAATATTACTGATTATCATAACTTGTTATCATAATCACGTATACATAATTTCTGTTACTTTTATATTAATACGTTGCAACATATTAACAGATCAAATATTGTAAGAGTTCTCTAGGAGATTCTCTTTGCACATGTAATATTTTGAATAATGATAGTGCCCTGCATATCATGAAATATGTAGTGTATTTTTTAATATAAATTTTAAGATATGTAATTAATGTTACTTAAACGATTTTTAATTCGCATTAGTTAATGATGATGATATACAATGTGTCTGCATTGTTGCTGGCATGTTGCCGACAACATAGTATGTGTTGCTATCAGAATTGTGGCAACTGAGTCCGCATTTATCGGCAAGTTGATGTCTTCACGATATAACAATTTTGTATAGTAACTTGCCAGCAACTTGTTGGTAATTTATGCTGCGGTCTAAAATCGTCTGATTCAAAGATCGAGCTGTTGCTGTCATGTTGTTGTAATAGTTCATAGGATCACACAATGCTGTCATATTGCTAGCAACGCGAAGTAAATTTGATGCTGCTCTCTTGCCGATAAATTGCTGGCAATACATATATCTAATGTTGCCTGCGTGTTGCTTCAAATATTAAATTATTTGAAATCAATTGAAGCAAATATACGGCAAGTTGCCAGCATCATAAGCAGTCACAGGTTTGCGTGATTTTTCTGGGACACGCTTGGCTATCTGCCCAGATAGCAACGTGTCTGCATTGTTGCTGGCATGTTGCCGACAACATAATATGTGTTGATGTCAGAATTGTGGCAACTGAGAACGCATTTGTCGGCAAGTTGATGCTTTCACGATATAACAATTTTGTACAGCAACTTGTTGGCAACTTATGCTGCGGTCTAAAATCGTCTGATTCAAAATTCGAGCTGTTGCTGTTATGGTGCTGTAATAACTCATAGGATCACACAATACTGTCATATTGTTAGCAACGCGAAGTAAATTTGATGCTGCTCTCTTGCCGACAAATTGCTGGCAATACATATATCCAATGTTGCCTGCGTGTTGCTTCAAATATTAAATTACTCGAAATCAATTGAAGCAAATGTACGGCAAGTTGCCAGCATCATAAACAATCACAGATTTGCGTAATTTTGCTCAGACACGCTTTGCCATCTGGGTATATATATATCTCAACATCTCGAGTACTCGCAACCCGTCGCGTCGCGTAAAAGAGTCACGGTCGGTCTCGCTCCGCGTGTACTTGGCGCGAGACACTACCGTGTCTCTTGATATATATATATATATATATATATATATATATATATATATATATATA